GAAAGAACTAGGAAAGCCCACTGGAAAATGTACTTGAAGGATAATCTCATCTGATCCTATTGCCTAGAGGTTGGACTTTGCACGAAAGTGCAAGCTTCTTTGCCACTTAGAGAGCTCTTGGTTCATTTTACTTATTACTTTTAAACAACCAAACAAACTGCTTGTTATCTTTTTGTTCAGTCCTTTGCAGTACCCTCAAGTGCTCAAACATCATCTGAATTTGTCAAGAAGTATGGTTCATTCATATTCTTCGAGATTGTCGATATGTCTAAATGTCTTCACTTTCTGTGTTTTTCCTTCTGGATCTTGGCTTTCTAATAATGTAATATGAATGAAATTTACACTGGACCTCTTCATCCACATGGGTAGTGAGAGTACAGATAAATTGTATGTCAGCATCCACTTGATATTCCAGGGTGGTTTTTTTTTTTCTTCTTTAATCTGCAAGAGTGTATCGTTTTGATAGTCTCATTTGCTAGTTTAGGAACTCATTTCAGAGCTCCAAAACACGTATGTTTGAAATGAAATGAGGGAGAGGAAGTTTCGGGGAGGGAGGGGGGAGGAAGTTTTCTTTGATTATACATATTGTTTGGAGTGGTGGTCTAGCCTTAGAGCTAGGGGCACTATATTTCTTTGTCAACTACATATTCCAGTTTATTTTGTTGTACCATTGTCTTGTATTTTTTGTTCTAAATGTACATGAACCCTTACATCTCTCTTACTGAATTTGCTGAATAGCAGAAAGTTCTGTGTGTGTCTCAGAAAAAAGTCAAGCTTCTGCAATGACGGGAGCACCTCTGTTGAATGAATGTAAGTAGCAGGTTACTAATGCATGGGGGTATTGGAGAGAAGGTATGGGAGAATACGTTACTAGTACTCGTGATTGATCTGGTAGGAGAAGTCTTTACCTTTTCATAATTATATTTTGGAAAGCCTAATGTTTGTATATACACACAGATCATGGAGACAAAAAATACAACATTTAATTTAAAAATTGCTTTACTGTTTACACTTTATCTTCTGTGTTTTCTAAAAATCTCTGTTTCTAACAAAGTAGTGAATGATAAATATTGAATTTGAACCTATATATTTCAATCCGTCCTCAAAAGTTTAACTTCCTGATCAAAGAAGTAATTATATTTTTCACTGTAGCCTCTTGGGAGGTCAGAACTTCTTAAGACAAATTTCCATTGGGACTACACTGTCTATCATTTGGTACATCTCCAAAACTAAACAAACTTTATTTTGTTAACTTGAAATAAATCTCTGTAGAGCACCTTCCTTGTTCTCTAAATTGCATTGGAATTTCAAGTAAAATCCACTGTGGTTCAAAACAGCATTTAAACCATATTTATAGTAGATGGATGCAGATATAGAGGCAATCTAAGTTTTACTCGGGGGAAAACTTCACTAACAGTCCTCCCTTTTTCAGTTATTCAACCATAAAGTTGATAGTGATATTTTTATCTTCTACAATGCAGCTTTGGTCTTTTTAAAGTTTTACTGCTTTCTTCACAAGGTTAGATGAATTTGGTGGATACTCACATGCAAAAGTTTAAGATGACACAGTGTGGCTTGCAAGTTTTTCTTGTCATTTCCAATAGGTGCTCAGATTCTAAGATCTTTCTATATTTTTGTGCACGTTTGTGGTTGGCATTTTCCTGAAGTTAAATGCACTGTTATTTTCAGATATAAAAGCAGTACACTACCAAATGTAAAATACCTTTCACAAATATGGAGAATTTTTTTTATGTTTGCATTAATGTTTACTCTTGGAACTTGTTTAAACTTACAGTTTAAGATTTTAGATCGATAACTTAAGAGAATAAATATATCCAGAGCAAATGACTGAGTCATTCCTTCAAACTTCTAATTTTGTTCTACTCTTAGGGAGATGATAGTAGTATAAAAGAAAATTACAGTTTTCAAGTTGAAATCTTCACTTCTCCCATACATAAATGACGTAATCAATATTTAATTTTTGGCAATGTTATGCGTCAAAGTCAAATGAAGCAGATATAGAAGACCAAGAACAGGTTTTAAAATATCACCAGGAATACATTTCAGTGACAAGAAGTGTTCAAAGCATTTCACTTTGCAAGATCATCAGTCTCACTGATGTTCAGTTCTTCCACTTCAATGTGCAGAGTTTCTTTCAGTGTTGTCTTTGATCATGAAGGATCCTAAAAAGCTTGTTATAGTACTTTTAAGATGAGAGCAGTTTTGTCTTTTTCCATCGTGCTATTTCATTTGACACTCCTTATATTTTGCTTAAGAAAAAGTCTCTCTCAACTTTACTTGTTGGTTATCTGTCCCTTCCCTAGCTATCCTTTTTTTGTTGTTACACTGAATAAGACAAAAGCCTCAGTGGTGTTAAGTTACATCCTTTCATATTTATAGTTTTGATAGGTAGCTTTTAATTCCTGTGTCAGAAGAGTATATAGGCTCTGTCTTACAGCTAAAATGAGCAAGCGAGACTACTTTTCAGAAGTTTTTTAGATTCTAGCAAAACTGTCATCTCATCTATCCACTGCTCTATCCCCACCTTCTTTGTAGTATAGTGTATTTCATTCTGCTAGTTGATCACTTTCTGTAACTTGCTGTCTCCTGTTAAGAACTGTTACCTTTATCATTTCTAAGTTGACTTTCACCTAAAGACCTTATATTCCTAGTGTAAAAGGTATACTTGTAATCTATGTAAATGTTTAGTTGCAGAGAATTTCTGAAATGAAAAAGCCTAGAAAAATACAGTAAACTTTAAAAAAAAATGAAAGGCTGATGAGAGTAATTTCTGCGGCAAAAAATATTTTATCATCTCAATCACCTCTCATGCTTTGCTACCAATGAAAAATGAGGCTTTGAACACCTTCTGTCGTGATCCGAAGCTTTAATGTTGCATGTGCACATTGGTGCAAGTTTTCCACACAGTCAAATGAGTTACAAATTAATACTAAACCTAATTATTGTTTGTGTCTTCAGTCTAGTATTGTTACTTTTAATGTACAACTACTATGTGAGGTAATGACATTAGCAGATGGGAGCAGGCAGAGTTGGGAAGATGCTTTTGTACCAATTATTTTTACAAATTTTTTGGTAGAAGTATTCAGTATTTTTCAGTAGAAGAAAGATCAGATTGCTTACCAGAAATTCTTAGCTAATAATAAGATATTGTTCAGGACATGATTTGGCAAGCAGTAGTTTTATCCATAGGGAAGATTTTTTTATGTACATTGAGTGCATTAAATTTTATATTTGTTATCTTGATTCCTACTATTTCTTCCTAAGGTGGTCATCAGGGTGAAAACAATGTGAAAAGCATGTGAATATATTTTA